CACACACAGTACCACTGTAGTACCTGGTACACACACAGTACCACTGTAGTACCTAATGTCTGTCACTGTTTCTTCTTCTGTAATCCGACTGTTGTGAAACAGCCGTAGCGACTGTACTTTCGTGCTGTAGTCACAGACACCACAGCTCTGCCAGGGCTGGGATTCAAACACGTCTCCCTGGATCCTTTAACCACTAGGCCACAGGCCGCTCCTCGTGTCCTTTCCTGGTGACACTGGGTAAAGTACAGTTGGTACCATTTTAAAAATCTAGGTCACTTCCGCCTTCTGTGTGTGTGTGTGAGTGTGTGTGTGACTACTGGTCTCTGAACAACAGACACCATCACTGGGAGTCAGTCTGTACAGCACAGACTGACTCCCAGTGATGGTCTACAGCAGGGATCACCAACAGACTCCACAAACCATGTAACAATAATCGGTTCTGGGACAGACAGTAACAGACACTCCACTTACTACTATAGCAACACCACCACAGTACTACAGTACCACAGCACCACAGTACTACAGTACTACAGTACCACAGTACTACAGTACTACAGCACCACAGTACTACAGTACCACAGCACTACAGTACCACAGTACTACAGTACTACAGCACCACAGTACTACAGTACCACAGCACTACAGTACCACAGTACTACAGTACCACAATACTACAGTACTACAGTACTACAGTACTACAGTACCACAGTACCACAGCACCACAGTACTACAGTACTACAGTACCACAGTACTACAGTACTACAGTACTACAGTATCACAGTACCACAGTACTACAGTACTACAGCACCACAGTACTACAGTACTACAGCACCACAGTACCACAGTACTACAGTACTACAGCACCACAGTACCACAGTACTACAGTACCACAGCACTACAGTACCACAGTACTACAGTACCACAGCGTCTCTGTCAGAGCCTCGGTCTTTTCCTCAGCACCGACTCAGGCTGACGATGGTTCCACACATACCTGTCAGAGGAGCGTACCAGCAGAGAACATCACAACCAGTTCAACAGGAACCAGAGGCCCATCATCACAACAAACCAGTTCCAAATCCACTGGAGGTTGTTGGTAATAATGGTGCGGAGGTGAAGTCTCCGTTCTACTGGTGACTACAGCTGAACCAGCAGTCCTGATAACATGATCTCATCTGGTACAAAGGTGAACCAGGTGTGAAGGTTACACAATCACTGACTGTGACTGTGACCAGGAAGAACAGCTGAGACACAGTTGTTTCAACAGACACTTCAGTATCAACACAGACACCTGTCACTGTCCCTCCCCCCCCCCCCCGCACTCCCTCTCCTGACCCTCCCCGTCCAAGATGTACACAACCCAAGGAGAGAGTTCACTCACTGTATGATTAGGAATGTAACGGTACTTAGTGACCTGGTTAACTGTCCACAGATGAAACAACAACAACAGAAGAAGAAGAAGAAGAAGAGAGAAAACAGGAAGTGGAAAGAGTTCCACTGGAGAACACTGTTGGTGTCTGTGGAACCAGTTCTTCCCACGTTCTGTTCCAACACCTGAACGTCTCTCAGCCCACGTAGGACCTGACGTCTGGGTTTGATAGAGGGTTTTTAGGAGTATACTGCCACCTACTGGACTACTGTGTGTAGTGTCATGGTCTGACCAGTGACTTTCTGTAATAACAGTCCACTCCTCACAGTCCAACTGAAGAGACTTGTCACGGATTTGTATGGAGTTTTAACCGATTCACGTGGTTAAATCTATATTGATCATGATGATTTTGGCCGTTGTTGAGTTCCAGTTCCTGAACGTCACATCTTTGTAAAGAACTTAGAAAAATGTTCCAAAAAGGTCGTTGACCTCTGCTCTGGTCAACACCGACATTCAAACATTTACCAGCAGAAGAGAACGCTGTCTAACACGTTGGTGTACAGTGTGTGTGCAGGTGAGCAGCGCACGCACACACACACACACACACACACACACATCCTGAGAACCAGAGGAATGTGGACTGAGTACTGACAGAACCGGTCTGTGGCTGTGAGTACCAACACCGTCCTCTGGGGCAGGAGGTAACTTTAAATACTAACCCTCTGACAATACACCCTTTCTGTGAAACCTCAGCCAGAGAGAAGGCATGAGAACAATTTCCCAGTTGTGTTGCAGTGTGTGTGTGTGTGTGTGTGTGTGTGTGTGTGTGTGTGATGACAACAGTTGAAACTGTTCTGTACGTTACAGAGAAAATATACATAAATAAAAATGTTCAAATTATTACACAAAATAATGAACTAATCTCTGACAATGATGACGTCACATCATTGAACCAATCAGAGCTCCACACAGTTATATAATTACTAGTAACGCACCGAAATTAAAATTCTTGTCCGAAACCGAAAACCAAAAATGAGGAAATCAAGGCTGAAAACCGAAACACGGTAAGAAAGGATTCTGCCACGTTAGTACCACGTCACGGTGTCTCTGACTGTGAACTAAACCTGAATCAATTCATGATAAATACATTATAAATGAATTATAGTTTAAATAATCAAAATTTCAGCATTACACGTTTGTCAAATCTCTGTCCGTGGGTCTTAAACACGTCTACGCCGCAGACATGTTGGTATTTATGACAAGTCGTTTTAGTGTTTACAGCTATATATGACTGATGACGACTGATCACAACCACAACATCATGTCAATATTCTACAGCAATGATTATTTTAACAGTCAAATATTGGTGGCGTTGGTTTATAATATTTTGTTTTTATATAAAAAACGCAGTATATCATCTTGCCTGAAGCATCGCAGTATATACGGCAGTATATATTGCAGTGTATATGGCAGTATATATGGCAATGTATATGGCAGTATATATGGCAATGTATATGGCAGTATATATGGCAGCATATATTGCAGTATATAGCAGTATATATGGCAGTATATATTGGAGTATATATGGCAGTATATATGGCAGTATATATGGCAGCATATATTGCAGTATATAGCAGTATATATGGTAGTATATATGGGAGTATATAGCAGTAAATATGGCAGTATATATGGCAGTGTATCTATCAGTATATATGGTAGTATATATTGCAGTGTATATGGCAGTATATATGGCAATGTATATGGCAGTATATATGGCAGCATATATTGCAGTATATAGCAGTATATATGGTAGTATATATATGGGAGTATATAGCAGTAAATATGGCAGTATATATGGCAGTGTATCTATCAGTATATATGGCAGTATATATTGCAGTATATATGGCAGTGTATATGGCAGTATATATGTCAGTGTGTATGGCAGTATATATTGCAGTATATATTGCAGTGTATATGGCAGTATATATGGCAGTGTATATGGCAGTATATATGTCAGTGTGTATGGCAGTATATATTGCAGTATATATTGCAGTGTATATGGCAGTATATATGGGAGTATATATGGCAGTATATATGGCAGTATATATTGCAGTGCATATGGTATTTCCAGATTCTTGACAGCACACAGACCTAGTGACACAGCTGAGAGAGTGACTACAGACAGTGGACGTTCAATATTGTCAGTTACTTTTGGTGAGTCTGTTGTTCACCAGTAAAGAAGGAGGAAACCCAGAGGGCGCTGTGGGCAGATAGATTCCCACCATCCTTATGTTTATCCACCTCAGCAGCCGGGTGTTTACGTTGGCCTGTTTAAATCTGGAGCCAGACCCACGTCCTCTGTTCATAATAAATGTCCTAAACAGTGAGCTGCACGTCTGGACCTCCAGCTGGAAACTGCACGGACCACCGCTGTCTGTCCCACATGTGCAGGGGAGACACAGTCGGAGGGACGGAAGGGGGAGGGACAGCAAGAAAGAGAAGGAGGGAGAGAGAGAGAGAGAGAGAGGGAAGTGTGTCAGTAAAAAAAATGTTATGCAGACGGAAAACAGTCTGAGATGTGTGTGTGTGTGTGTGTGTGTGTTTGGGGAGGGGAGTCAGGGCAGAAAGAGGGATGAGGGGGGAGAGATTGATCTGAAACAGTGTGGGAGAGAAAAAGAGCCCGGCCTTGGGAATGAATGTGTGTGTGGGAGGAAACGATACACCAGTGGACCGCCGGAAAAAGAACGTCAGCCAGGAGGACGGAGGATCAATCCCTCCCTGGAGTCTCCCAACAAACACACTTGGTTTCTGTCTCTCACCTGATATCAGCACTCCATGCTCTAACCATGCCTCTCTCTCCCCCCGTCCTCCCCCCTCTCCCTCCGCCTACTCTGCACTTTAATCTCCAGCTCTTCTGAGCTCGGACTTCTCTGTGTGGTGGGGGTCTCACTAAAGGGTTAGGATGGGGGGGGGGCAAGAGAAACTGAACACATCACCCTTCACAGAGAGGGGGAGGAGGAGGAGGGGGAGAGTATCACCAACTCCTGTGAACTTTAGAAAGTTTAATTCAGTCACTGCAGTCATGTGACCTCACTCATTCATTCACTGATTAATCCCAGCAGCCATCAGGTGAGGGCGGGGCTACACCCTGACAGTTCTCCACAGTAAACACCATGTGACCCACGGACCAAACAATCAGAAAAGCTGTTGTTGACCCTAACAACATCTCAGTAACATTGTTCCAATGACTGTTCTTTGTGAAAGTCCATCCAGAGGACAGAGACACGTCCTCCAAGAGGACACACAGCAGGACAGGAGTAGAATGAATGACGTTTCTCCTCATCTGGAACAGTTTGATCAAGACGTTGACTGTGGTGATCAGACTACAGATATGATCCAGTGACAGGCAGACAGACAGACAGACAGACAGGCAGGCAGACAGACAGTGCTGGCTGAGCTGATGCCTGCAGGCCTGCAGCTGCCCCGCTGACAGCTGGCAAAAGCATTTCGGAAATTCAAATCCTGAGCACAGCGCGAGCCACGACCGTATGGAAACTACTTCGGTAAAAGTGCAGAGTTTGTGGAAAAACAGAGAGAAATGTGGACAAAGTGTCAGAGAGACGCGGAGACTCACCGGCGGCTGAAGACCCCTGCATCCTGCACCCCGAGGCTCTCCACTCCGTGTCCGCTCAATCCTGCTTTCTCTCGGTCAGACTGACAACAACAGTGGCTACAGTCCTGCGTTGGTGAGAAGACCGAAGGAGCGCCTCCACTTCAACCCCCCCACCCCCGTCCTTTTCCTGTTCGGGACAAAAATACGGCACACGCGCGCACACACACACACACATGCACACATTCAGTAAGTCGTTCAACGGGATTTCTCCAGCATTAGATTCAGTCCCGGGTCAGTCCAGTGCTGGGTCCAGAGCAGAGAGCTCCTCCAGGCAGTCTCTCTGAGTGTTCCTGTCTCTCCTCCCTCCTCCCTCTCCACACAGATCTCCTCTTGGCGGCTGAGGGGAAAAAAGAAAATGCGCGCGCTCGCCATCTGTGCGCAATCACGACAATTCACTCATTGAGTGTATGGAGCCCAAAAATATTATAACAACTCGAAATTACTATTTTATCGGTTAATTTAATCAAACAAAAGAGTTTTCGGTTTGTCTCACGAACACAACAGAAAACACGAGTGAACTGACAGAGAGTGAGGCGGAAACGAAGCCCCTCAGTCGGTTTAAGACTGTGAACTCGGCGGATTCTTCACCTCCTCTATACACTCTTTATTTATTTAACAGTAATCAGGACGTCATTTAAATTATATTATTTTATATTATTATATTTACTGGAAAATAGACCCACCAGGTGGCAGTAATGCAACTCAAAAGTATACCATCTGCCACGAACTACCGTAAAAGAGGCTAATGGTGTTAGCATGACGAGCTTGCTTTAGTCCTGGTGAAGACTTACCTCTACTCTCCAAACAAAACACATCATGCTAGCGGTCTACTAACTCTCCGCTAACCGACTCGGTGCTCTGGTCACTAGTTCTGCGATAATTAGCTCTGCTAGCGCATCGCTAACTCGATGCGTATTGTTAAGTTGCTAACTCGCTGCTAATTGGCTGCCTTTTGGCGCCCCGGGAACTCGCCGTTAATTGGCTCTGTTGTTGCTAGGCAGTACTTCACTGCGAAGTGGCTCTGTGTTAGCGGGAATTATTATTTTAGATCAAGTGATATGATTCAAAGAAAAGGTTTGGACCTAGTTTAAACAGAATCAGATACAGCAAAGTTTTCAGGTGTGTTCTTACACATGACCAAGGCTAATGACCGCGAAAATGGAAATGAAGTGAAAACACATTGGTGAAAACAGGTGACCTACTGTATATTCAACACCTGTGTGGATCACTGTGTGTGTTTCACCTTGACCAGAACCTTTACCACAGAAACAGGTGTTGATGAGTGAAAGACGCCTGACGTTCCAGTTCCACTTCAGACAACAACGTCCAGTGTTTCAGTAACGTGGAGATAAAGTCATCTCCATGTCTGAGTCACGAGGAGAGACTCGGTCACACCTCACACCCAGTGTCAGGGCTGAGGAGTGTTTCATGACACACACACACACACACACACACACTCTGACATCATTGACCTCCTCAGGGTTGGCTATTATCTCTGCTCCACAGGAGCTCTTTAGAAACTCTGTGTGTGTGTACTGTAAATGTTCACGCATGAAGAAAGTCACCATGAAGATTTGTTCCCCCTGACCTCACTAGCTGACCCCTGTGTCTTCAGGTCATCACATGACAGCACTGAATGATACATAAATACACAGAGAGATTCTCTCCTTCTCCTCCTCCTCTTCTTCTTCTTCTTCTTCTTCTCCTTCTTCTTCCTCTTCTTCTGCTTCTTCTTCTCCTTCTTCTTCTTCTCTTTCCTCTTCCTCTTCCTCTTCTTCTTCCTCTTCCTCCTCTTCTTCTTCGGGGCAACAACCTCAGTCAAAAAGTATTCAGACAAATATAAAACACAATTAAACCACAATTAAATTAATTAAATCTCCTATAAAATTAACAAAGCTGTCGGCTCTCTTCTTCAGTGGTGGGTAGAATATTGGAGGATGACCTTTGACACCAGGTCACGACTATCCAGATGGTTCTGGATCAGAAGTACCAGGTTTCCACTCCGGTTGGGTTACAAACGTGACGTTTGATCAGCTTCATTTTTGAGACTTAAAAAAAATCGGATCAAATCAAAGGTAGCCCCACTGCGACTCCAAGTGGTATATTTTAGTAGTACATTAGCTGCTCTGAAGAAGATGATTGAAAAGATACTCTGTATATACAGTAGAGAGGAGACTGACACTAACAGACTCCTCTGTTACTGCACTGATGTCAGTTACTGTCACCACACTGACCCCTACTGTTGACCTTCTTCATAGGTCACTCAGACAAAGCACAGTAACATTAATGAGTTTCTCCAAGGAGTTTTTACATCATATACTACCTCTAAAAATATCACTCTGTCCCAGTCCCACCAGTCCGTCTGGGTCCCACCAGTCTGTCTGGGTCGTTCCCAGCCCCACCAGTCTGCCTCAGTCCTACCAGTCTGTCTGGGTCTGTCCCAGTGGAATCGTCAGTTCCTATTGGCCCTTCTTTGACCTTGTGTTAAAAATGCCAACTTTGCTACTAAATCATTGGAAAAGAAACCAGAAGTAGCCTAAGACTTTTGCTCAGGAGCGTGTGTTGAAACAGGGACAAAAAGAGTGAAAGTGAAAAGTTTAGTTCATTTATTGATTTCCACCAGCATGACTACCTTTACACAGTACGACGACCCCCCCCCACTGGAAACAAACAGCCCACTCTTATGGGGCTCATTCAGCAGTAACTCATCAGAACCTAATTCTTTTTATTTTTCTTTTAAAATAATTTCACCCTCATAAAGTTTCCCTGTTTGTTTCCGGCCTGTGTAAAGGTCCCATGACTGACGCACATGCTGGAACGCTGATGCACATTATGGATAATACGGTACTGCGTGACAGGGTCAAATAAAAACCAACACACAGGTGAAACCCTTAATTATAGAAAGATATTATGGATCAATACTGAAGCACGATCACTTTAGAACCACAACGATCAGAGTTTCCTCCAGCAAACAGAAAACGTTCTCTTTATTTCATCGCTAAAATGTAGTAGAATTGCACTTTTTGAAATCTCGTCCACATCGGTAACTTTAACGCCTCAACAAACGAGCGCTGGCTGTCATGGCACGACTCCAGCTTGTTGATGCTGATTTCTGTTTTCTGTTTCCTGAAAACACACATGTTCAAAAACAGATGTCGTAAAAAAAAGTTGAATAATAATAATAATAATAATAAAAAAGCAACCGAGGAAACAAAGGAAAAGTCAATGCACTCTCTGCACATTTCTGTTTAACACTATTGATATGACGTCACCTTCACCAAACACAGCTACAGACACAGGTGTTGGACTGATCCACCCCAGCACATCACACTTGCCCCGGGGCTTTAGTTCAGTAACAGGAGGCCAAAGGGATTTCTTTTGGTTCCCAAGTTTGGTTTAAAAAAACAAAAAACAAACAGAAAACTTTTTAATACCCCTGAATTTATCGAGCGGGTCACTGAGCTGCAGAATTCAATGCAATTTTTTAATTTATTGAGCTACTTTCAAAAGCGTGACTTGAAACGCATTCGTGTCGCTCCTCGCAGTCACCGATGCCGAGGTCGTGGCCTGGCGGTGAAGACGGTAAACACAAAACACTGGTCTAAGATTCTCCCTCGAAACAATGAAAGGCACTACTGGTCAGAAACGAAGAACTAAACAAAGCAAAGACAGAGGCCACGCCCCCACGGGGAGGGCTTATTGATTTCCACCAGCATGACTACCTTTACACAGTACGACGACCCCCCCCCACTGGAAACAAACAGCCCACTCTTATGGGGCTCATTCAGCAGTAACTCATCAGAACCTAATTCTTTTTATTTTTCTTTTAAAATAATTTCACCCTCATAAAGTTTCCCTGTTTGTTTCCGGCCTGTGTAAAGGTCCCATGACTGACGCACATGCTGGAACGCTGATGCACATTATGGATAATACGGTACTGCGTGACAGGGTCAAATAAAAACCAACACACAGGTGAAACCCTTAATTATAGAAAGATATTATGGATCAATACTGAAGCACGATCACTTTAGAACCACAACGATCAGAGTTTCCTCCAGCAAACAGAAAACGTTCTCTTTATTTCATCGCTAAAATGTAGTAGAATTGCACTTTTTGAAATCTCGTCCACATCGGTAACTTTAACGCCTCAACAAACGAGCGCTGGCTGTCATGGCACGACTCCAGCTTGTTGATGCTGATTTCTGTTTTCTGTTTCCTGAAAACACACATGTTCAAAAACAGATGTCGTAAAAAAAAGTTGAATAATAATAATAATAATAATAAAAAAGCAACCGAGGAAACAAAGGAAAAGTCAATGCACTCTCTGCACATTTCTGTTTAACACTATTGATATGACGTCACCTTCACCAAACACAGCTACAGACACAGGTGTTGGACTGATCCACCCCAGCACATCACACTTGCCCCGGGGCTTTAGTTCAGTAACAGGAGGCCAAAGGGATTTCTTTTGGTTCCCAAGTTTGGTTTAAACAAACAAAAAACAAACAGAAAACTTTTTAATACCCCTGAATTTATCGAGCGGGTCACTGAGCTGCAGAATTCAATGCAATTTTTTAATTTATTGAGCTACTTTCAAAAGCGTGACTTGAAACGCATTCGTGTCGCTCCTCGCAGTCACCGATGCCGAGGTCGTGGCCTGGCGGTGAAGACGGTAAACACAAAACACTGGTCTAAGATTCTCCCTCGAAACAATGAAAGGCACTACTGGTCAGAAACGAAGAACTAAACAAAGCAAAGACAGAGGCCACGCCCCCACGGGGAGGGCGGGGCCCCGGGTACAACGCTCTGAGCGACAGCTCGTCTTCTTTTTTCAATTCTTGATTCTTTTTCAACCTAAATTTTGCACCAAGATTTGGCACGATAATCGAAGAGAGAGTGAAACAATTCCAATTTGGAATTTAAGGTTTGCCTTTGCAGAGAATGCCGAAGGTCAGTGACCCCCCCTCAGTGGAACGCCCTCGGTAAGAAGCTAGGAACGATGAAGAAGCAGATCCCGCCGTTCACAATTTCCCCAGAACTCCACTTACCGTCGGGAGACAGAGCGTCATCAAGTTTCATTGTGTAAATGTCAACTATTCCTAGGAATAATAATAAAAACATTACATAAAAAAAAGCTGTTGTACAGACCAAAGGAAAAACACCCAGAATAAAAACAACAGCATCGAAAACCACCAGGATTATTTCACGGATTAAAAGTGAAGGATGGCGCCGCGGTGGCTCTGCGGTTTGTGAAGCCCTTACTCAAATACCTAGTCGTGTCAGGATTTGGATTAGCAACTTACCTACACTGACTAACTCACAAACCATAGGTCCACCTGGCTTTACTAAGGGTTAACAATAGTCTGTGATAATCCTATGGAATAAAAAGTGCACAGATTAAAAATAAAATAAAATATTAATAATAAAAATCCACTAAAATATAAAGACGTTTCTGAACGGGTTTAAATAGTTTGTGCTAATGGGTTACATCAGACATTGACTGGTCCTGCAGAACAGCGGTTCTCAAACTGTGGTACGTGTACCATGGGTGATCCCTCCAGTGGTATTAAGGTCTACTTTGAACTGAAGTACCAGGTGCAGTACTATTTCCTTGTCCAATCATTTGAATCATTTCTCTTGGTCTAATCTGAACAGTGTAGTACCCAACCAACTAGTAGTACTTGCCGCTGTAGTACACAGTATTTAAGTTTTGAGAAGCACTGCCGTCGGAGGTCAAACTGTCGGTTCCAGGTGTGAAACGTTAGCTTCAGCAGCAGCAGCGTGAACGGGTGTAGTGTGAACCACCGCTGATTTTTAAAGTGACAAATTTAACCAGTTCGTTTAAAAACGCTTGTTCGCCATCGGCGCAGTATTACCGTAATTCACTGCAAAATGGAGCAACCGGAAAGGATCAGTTTGACCTTTGACACGGAGGTCAAAGTGGGGGGTACAAAGACTCAGCAACAAAAACTAATCTAATCATCGACCAAAAAACCTCAACACCAGACCCCGTCCTCCAGACAGGACCGAGGTCACAACCCCCAACTCCCAGGTCAACGACCCCGGGTCTCCCTCCCTCTCTCTCTAATTGCATCAGTGTGTCATCAAGATCAAATATAAAGTGGGCGGAGCCTCGTCTGTGTGGACGTCTGAACCACAGCCTGGGGGTCGATCTACTCACCTCACATCTACATCTGTGGGTGAGGAGCTAATCTACCTGTCTGGACTTCCTGTTCTTCTACCTCTGGACAGGAAGTGGAGACGACACAGGACCACCACACTTTTCCCTATTGTTCCACACCATGTGTACACACCAGGTGACGTCCGCCCTGCAGCAGGGTGGACGTCTGAATACTTTCCAAGAAATCTACAGGATGACGATCACATGACCAACGATCACATGACCAACGATCACATGACCAACGACCTGTAGGAGAATACAACGCTGGTCTGACTGCTGTTAGCTTCATCAGGCTAACGTGTTAAACTGGGATTTGAACCCACGCCCCACTGATGTCTATTTCATGACTTGCATAATGTGAGCCGTCAGCGGGGTTAAAGCTAGAGGGAGAAAAATACAGTACGTCGACAGAACCGCAGTCTGTTTCTATAGGTGAAGAACAGAACATCTGAGGGTTCTCACACACACACACACACACACACACACACACACACTCACACTGTTAAAAAGTGAAGGCCGATGCTGGGGGAGGGAGGGGGGAGGGAGGTTAAAGAAGAAGAGGAAAAATGCAGCTCAGATTGCCACAAGAGGGCAGGGCTGTTCAGGCCCGGGGTCACACAGGTCACATGTTCAGGTCACATGTTCAGGTCACATGTTCAGGTCACAGGCACTTCTGAGCCGTGTGTTTGTTGGTTCTGTTTTGTCGTTTGTGCTTTTAACTGTTGGACTATTTGGAACAGTTTGGAACTGTTAACTGGAGTTCATTTGATCTTTTAACTAAAGTAGAGTGAGGGGGGGGGGGGGGGGGGGGGGGAGGCACCTGAGCTGAAGTGCACTTCATGAGGTGTAGGAATCGACTTGTCAACGTTCTCTCACTCTGTCGTTGAACACGTGGCTCATGTGATGTAGCTGTAACGTAGCATGGAACTCGCGGCCTCGGCTTTTAGCCAATCAGAGCGACTTGTCTTATTACTATGTGGAGACCATGAAAACACAGGTTTGTCTCGTACCATGAACTGAACAAGAAAAAAATATTTATAAAAACTCTGAGGTGGTTTTAGCTGCAAAGCCATGCGATTCTACTGACCTGTCAGTCTGAGTGACCCATCAGAGCAGGAGACGCTGCGTCACGGCTCCTCCTCCACCTCTACACACAACAACACCCCCCGCAAGGGAGGTGTTGTTGTGTCTGTATGAAGTGGTACTGTTCTGTGTTAACAGGACAGCATGGAGTGGGGGGGGCAGTGGGGGGGTCGTTGCATACTCAGTCGTGTTATTGTTTCTTTTAAACCTTTGTAAACATTAGAGCGTCACCTGATTGGACAGTGGACTACAGGACAGGGGTTAGTCCCAGGGAGGGGGGGGCAGGGAGGAG